GTTCAAATATGCCCACGAGTCATGTGTCAACTATGCACATGGATTTTTAACCTCACCAGTCTCAGCTTGTCCATTTGCTGGAAATGTCAGCAGAAATCAACAATCTTCAACTAATAAGACACTTAGTATGCACACTGATAAATATTCATGTAAATTAAAAAAAATAGGATTAAAGTAATATTAAATCTGGTTTGTTTGCATCTTCTGCATTTTATGTGGAAAACATTGACCCTTTTCTTCCCAACTCATTCTGTGACGTCTGTGTCAAGCCCCCCAGAATTAACAAGAAATATACCGGAAGTACTGAGCTCTATTTTCAAGGTAATTGCCAAGATTGCAGTTTACCGACTGCCAAGCTGCATTTAAAACCTTATATTTTTGAAAACCGTTATATTTTGGAATTTTAAATAAACGAAAAATACTCCAACTTGTAGCGAACCGGATGTTTCTTAATGATATTTATAACAATTAATATTAATTTCACACTTAACACCACACTTTTAAACTAAGAAAAGCAGGTTAATCCAGACATTCTAAAAATGCAGCCTTTCAGTAGCTTTTATGGACAAAAACATTAATTGTCATGTTGTTTAAATTGTTTAAAATGAGACTAACTATAAAAATAATATACACACACGTACTGTGTTCTAGATTATTTATCTTAAACGAATATGTATGACCGATGCCATCCTTTAGAAGTAATTACTGTACAGAATGAGCAGAAGACAAGAGATCAATATTATTTATTTATTTTGATGAACGCTCATTTTATTCTGAAAATCTTGACTAGATGTTCGCGTTTTCGTCCCGTGTTTTTTTTTTTTTTTATTACAGGTATCCCACTACGTGCAGACAGACATGAGCGATCCCTGTTAAAGTAAAGAAGGAGGTCTCCTGAGCCATTCAAAGCACTGACAGACGGCTGAGGGAGCCTGTGAAGGTAAAGATGCTCACGAGAAGCTTGTTCCTGGCCTTCTTCTTCGTTATTTTTGCGCCGGTGGACGCTCAGTATGAGAAGTACAGCTTTAAAAGTTTCCCTCAGAAGGACATCATGCCGCTGGAATCCGCGTACAACTACGCGATGGAGCAATACCGAGCGCAAAACTGGGCAGAAACTATCAAGTTCCTGGAGCTGAGCCTGCGGCTCCACCGGCTGCTCCGGGACAGCGAGGCTTTCTGCTGCAGCAACTGCAGCTCCGTCAGCCGGGACAACGACACCCTGTTCGAGGATAGCAGCCTCCGCGTCGTGCGCCACATCCTGCTGAGAGCTGCTTGCCTTAAAAAGTGCAAGGCAGATTTTCCAGTGTTTAAGCTCACATATCCACGGAGAGATTTATTGGAAACTTTCGAGAAAAGGACACCTTATCGTTACATACAGTATGCATACTTCCAGGTGAGACTAAGTGTGGAAGTGAGTTCACTGGGACTCTGGGAGTGTAATGCAAAGTTGGTGCAGTACTTAAGCACGGCATACAAGAATATCTTACGCGTAACGGGAGCATTCATTCAACAAAAGTGTCTGCAGTTGGCTTCTCTAGACAGGCTGGCTCGTTTTACTTACCGAGAGGAAATTTCTAGTGGGTTAGCTGTGGAGTGTAATTTCGCTACGACTTTGTTGTGCGCCCTCCTGCTGGCCAAGCAGCAGTTGAGCATGTGCCACGTCTCTTCCAGTGTTCCCCTAAAAACAATCCCCCTATTCTTCTGTCAGAGTGATGGGGGGGCTGGGTTTACTTAGTCGGCAAGATCTTTCGCGTAAAAAGTGTGCGTAAAAGTATGCTTGGTCATTAAATTGCCTCCACACTAACAACATCCATGCTGTGGGGGAAATTAATTGAACGTACATCATCAGAAACCCTTTAACTCTGAATCCTAAAAGCAGAATACCTGCTGTGCCCCCCTCTTTCACTCAGAGATTATTCTGCATATTTATTTATTGTTGATTAACCCTCCCCCAAAATGCTACCTTTTATTATACTTCAAACCAACAGGGTATACCGACCCACTTCCACGAACATCTGTCCAGATCTTTTATCTGACTCTGCTGTGTGATATCTGATATTATCACTTAGTTTCCAACCACTGCATCCATCAGCTGTTTACTGACTTCTCAAGAAATGATGTGCTCTGACATGTCCTCTTTTAAAAACGTTTACCTAAAAAGTAAAAAACAGTATCTTCCTGTAACTCCAGTGCCATGTGTTACATTCTCCCTCAGCTTAACAACCTGGAGAAGGCAGTGGCTGCAACTCACACTTTCTTGAAGAAGAACCCAGATGATGTCCTCTTAACAAAGAACATGAACTACTACAAGACACTGTTTGACGTGGAGGAATATCTCATTGATCACGAGGAGCAGCCATATGAAGTTTGTACCCTAAGCACTGTCGTATTGCACCCATGAGAGGTCTGATGTTTGAGTTCTATGGGTTTTTTTTTAAAAAAATGAATCTCTTTACTACACAGAGTGTTTTCTTGAAAAGTGTGACGCTCTACAACAACGGAGACTTCAGCAACAGTGCTAGAAACATGGAGCAGGCCATCACACAGTACTTTGAAGTATACAACCTCTGTTTAGCTGGCTGTGACAGCTCATATGAGATTGTGGAGTTCAAAGATTTCTATCCCAGCATGGCGGGTAAGAGGAGAGTCATTCAGGAGCAGTTTAAGTTCAGATTATTTGAGGCAAAATAACATTTTCTCCTTCTTGCTTCCATCAGATCTCTATATAAATGCTCTGAAATGTAAAGTTAAATGTGAGGAGAACCTGACACCCAGCGTTGGAGGCTTCTTTGTGGAGAAGTTTGTAGCTACTATGTATCACTACCTCCAGTTTTCTTATTATAAATGTAAGAACTATTACCAAGACTTTGGCTTTGTTTTGCAGAGATCTGTGTAATGTAATGTTTTTTTAAAAAAAAACATGTATTACTTTATGTTTCCAGTAAATGATGTAAAGAACGCTGCTCCGTGTGCAGCAAGTTACATGCTGTTTGACCCCAAAGACCAGGTGATGCAGCAAAATGTGGCGTATTATCGCTTCTACCGGGAGCAGTGGGGCCTCAACGATAATGATTTTGAACCTCGGCCTGTGAGTAAAACAAAAACTGTACCAGTCTTCATTCATCGGCTCTTCCAGGACTTGAGCGGTTTAGCTGCAGCTCGTGCAGGCTGGATTGTTTGGAAGCAGCAGGCGGTGCATATTGCAAAGCCAGAAAATGGTAGCATGAAGCGGTCACGGCGTGAACATTAACACAATTTCAGGGTGGTAATTAGAAACTTGTATAGTTGTGTAGGGCAGATATGTTTTCCTATCTTTTCTGCAGGGTGTAAAATTGGCAGCAGCTGCAGTGCAGTTTATGGGCTAGACCCATCTGAAGCTGGTCTGGCCTGTAAAGTTCTTTGCATCCCACTTTTAAATACATGTAGTGCTGCTGTAAACACATGAAGGCTTCTAAACTTAGAGGAGAAAAGCCAGTAAACAACAAACCAGCTAGCCAAATTTGTTGTTCAGCTCTGTGTTGTAAAACTGTTTGTTTGTTCCCACTGGTTGCTTGAGCTTACACAAAAGCTAATGTCCCTTTAACTTTTCCAGGAGGCACTGAGGTACTTTAACCAGACGACCAAACAGAAAGAAATGCTGGAGTTTGCTCTGAGCTACCTGCAAACAGACAATGAGGTATGTTTCTACACTTGGCTCAAAGGCTGATGTTGACTAATGGCGCACTGTTTTTAGACAGCACGAGGGCTTGAGCTTAAGCGTCAACGGAAATTACATTAATTCCTTTAAAGAAAGAAAAAAAAATTATCTGAAGGACTAATCTTTATACAATATGGCATTTAATTAGCAGCATTAAACAAACTGAACTGTGGCACCAATTTAGCAGAGGACAAGCCATAACAAAATCTTTTGCCAATGAGTTTATGTTACTTATTGCTGGTTTCAAACCTTATCTAATACAAAATGATGATCATTTTGATAGATAGACTGCAGTCTGAAATATTATAAGAGAGAGACATGGCGCAAAAATAATGCTCACTGAAAATGCAGAACAATGACCAAGTCAATCAACAGCTCCAACAGGAAATGTCTCAATCAAGCACACACACAGTGGAGGTTCACAATGGTTTCAGCACATTCCTCTACATTAGAATTGTAAAGACTTGGATGAATGTATGCTACCAAATGTTGTTCATACATAGTAATATAGCTTAAAGGGGGGTGGGGGGGGTGGGGGGGAGCCTTTAAAACTTATTTTAGGCAAAGACTGGGAAAAGATTTATTTATTTTCTCAGTAACTTCAGTTTGCCGGTCAGATCCAACCCTCTGGGCTAGAAGCCCAAACATCAGTGCGACGCTTCAAAACCACACTTTACAACCCATATGGAAAAGAAATAGTAAAAACATATATGATTTACTCATGAAAGTGGCCACTTTCATGAGTAAATCATATATAAATCATATAAGGCTTACATGATTTACTCATGAAAGTGGCCACTTTCTCATTACTTTCATA